GGAAGGAAGGAAGGAAGGAAGGAAGGAAGGAAGGAAGGAAGGAAGGAAGGAAGGAAGGAAGGAAGGAAGGAAGGGCAATATCACTTATATAACTCTTCACAGTGCTTTTACAGGCCTCTCTCTAAGTGGTTTACAGAGTCAGCCTCTTGCCCCCAACAATTCTGGGTCCTCATTTTACCCACTTCGCAAGGACGGAAGGCTGAGTCAACCTTGAGCCTGGTGAGATTCGAACTGCCAAACTGCAGGCAGCTGGCAGGCAGCAGAAGTAGCCTGCAGTATTGCACTCTAACTACTGCGCCACGGCAGCTCATAAATATCAACGAGCGTTCTCCTTTTATCTAAAAGACACGAATGAAGAGGGCAGCCTGCCACAAATTTTACTGACCGTTCCAAGTTAAAAACAGCACTGTGGAAAAAGTGCTTTATGATCGTCCCGAGCCACCTTCTAGAGAGGTGGTAAAACGGGGCAAAAAATCACTTAACAACTGTCTGGCATAGCGATAGAAATGTGACCGTAAATCGAGGGCTAGCTGTACTCATAGTCACCCGATTCCTAAACACGATCCGGGCAGGATCATTCTCCTACATTCTGCCTCCATAACCAGCTGCCACTTTAAACTTCAAAGGCCAAACCAGCCTGTTAAGGACTGGGAATTCCTTCCCATTGGATTCCAGACAGGTGCTTGCAAACCCAGACTCAGCAGCTGTCGCAATACCTCACAGCAGTTGTGTATTCAAAGATCACAAGGCACCTGCAAAGATCAGCCGCGTGCATATCTGCTTGAAAGACAAGTTGCTGTTTGGGCAGCACTCACGCTGTTCAAACGCACAAAACATCTAGTGCAGGGGTGGGCAAACATTTTGGCTCAGGGGCCTCATTGACTTTTAAAATTTGACAGACGGGCCGGGTCAGCACAAGATACGATACATATAAAAAAAACTGCAAAATCTCTGCAAAATCAAGTCACTGCGCCTAATGCGCCACCTGGTGTCGAAATGCCTGTCATTACAAGTCAAAATCAAATGAATGCAATCATTCAAATCAAACCTTAATTCTGTACCAATCTTCGGCGGGCCGGATTAAAAAGACCAGCGGGCCGGATGTGGTCCGCGGGCCGTAGTTTGCCCACCCCTGATCTAGTGTTTCCCCTCCGAAGCATAGACCAGGGGTCTCCAAACTTGGCAACTTTAAGGCTTGTGGACTTCAACTCCCAGAATTCTCCAGCCAGCCAAGTTTGGAGACCTCTGGTGTAGACTGTGCTCCCACCCCACGCCCCCATTTCACCAAGTGCTAATCCTTTGGTTGTGACGGGGATTGATTGACTGGTTTGTCACTCATGGGCTGAGGGGAAAAGGACTAAAGCCAAAAGTCACCCAGCTGGCTTTCATGCCTAAGGCAGGATTAGAACTCGCAGCATCCTGGTTTCTAGCCTGGTGTCTTAATCCCTGGGCCAAGCTGGCTCTCAAATATGAAGCCCTACATAGCATCATCCAGAGGTGGGATTCTACCATTTCGGTCCATTTCAGCTGAACCAGTAGCTCCAAAGATCATCTGAGAGGGAGCCGGTTTGCTCCAACAATCCTGCTGTTCCTCTGTTTGGCTCTCCTTGATGTCGCACCCGTGTTACACACAGGGCTTGCAGGAGAAGATGGTTTTCAAACTCTGCGCATGCAAAGTGCACGCTCACCGAACTGGTTATTACAACTGGGTGGAATCCCACCCCTGGCCTTATCGTACATGTACCAGCCTACCAAGTTGCCTAATTTATGAAGAAAATAAATAAATAAAGATTATTTTAAGTTTAGTTTTACATTTCTTTGTCTCTCTTCTTTGGGGATATTTTATGTTTAAAATGTCAGTTTTGTCTGTATTATGATAAAAGAAAAAAGAAAAGCACATCCTCAACAACCCCACGTCTCCAAGATTTAAGATCACGCTTAATTTCATCTCACTCCCATCAGCAAGTCCATAAAAACCCTGTTCTGCTTAACAAAGACGATGGGCGCAGTAGTCCAACACACCGGGAGGACGTCAGCTTGGGAAATTTAACTTTAAAGCAGCATCTCCTTTAAAGCATATGCAGGTTTCTTCTTAATCTGAATTTATCTGAACAAGCAAACTTTTTTTTTTTAAAAAAAACACGCTCTAATCTCTCCATTCGGATAGCAATACATCAGCGTTATGAAATTAAAAATGGAAAGCTCGACAACTGGAAGACGTATCAAATAAATATTTGTTGTGGCAGATAAAGGAACTCCGAAAGCTTTCTATCAACATTATGGCTGTTGGAATATTTTGCCTGCCATATATTTTGCCAGGAAAAAAAAAATTCCCCTTCAGTCTTAAGTCAATTCTGGGTAATAGAAAGGACTAGAAAATAGAGCAACACCTGCAAAGAATAGTTGGGCTAATTATGATGTGGAAGTGGTAGTTTCAACAGGCGTAGCTATATAAATCTCTCTTTGATGCACGATAGTTATTAAGAAGAAAAGGTTCGTTGGCATCTGTTACCCCTTAAGGTATTTAACAAGGACCAGGAAGAAAGGAGCTGTGTTAATGCCAGCTAACATAAATATAATAAATGAAGCCTATTTCTCTCTTACTTTATGCACGGGTCTTCACACTTGACAGCTTTAAGACTTGTGGACTTCAACTCCCAGAATTCCTCCTCTAGTCATGTTAGCTCAGGAATTCTGGGAGTTGAAGTCCACAAGTCTTAAACTTGCCCAACACGTGGTTGTCCAATTTCTTCTTAAAAGCCTCCAGTGTTGGAGCAGCCACAACTTCTGGAGACGAATCATTTTGATACACACGCGCGCACACACAAGACAAGCAGGACCTCGATGCCTGAGAATCGCCATAGACATCAGGGCTGTGGACTCACACAAGGCCCTTTTTATGGCCAAGAAAAGGACAGGAGGGTCCTTGGAAGCAGCTCTTGAAAGGCTGCTCAGGAGGAGGAAGGAGCTGCAGAGATCCAGGACTTGAATCCAGGCCTTTTGGCAAGACTCCCCCCCACAAATAAAAGCTGCCCCGGGCTTGGGAAAATGGATCCCTGAAGACTCTCCAGACCCCCAAGGCTGCCATGAGCCCCACACGCCTGTGTCCAGCTACAGGTAGTCCTTGACTTACAACAGTTTGCTTAGAGAGCGTTTGAACCTACAACAGCACTGAAAAAAAATGTCTTATGATCATTTTCAAACTTTACATTTGAATAGCACTAGCACTTAGACTTATATACCGCTTCATAGTGCTTTCCAGCCCTCTCTTAAGTGGTTTAAAGAGTCAGCCTCTTGCCCCCCAACAATCTGGGTCCTCATTTTACCCACCTCGGAAGGATGGAAGGCTGAGTCAACCTTGAGCCTGGTGAGAATCGAACTACCAAACTGTAGGCAGCTGGCTGCAGCAGAAGTAGCTTGCAGTGCTGCACTCTAACCACTGCGCCAACAGACAACTGACTCACATTTATGATGGCTGCAGTGTCCCGGAGTACAATCCTCAAGGTATGACCCCAAATGAGGCAACACTCACTTAACAAATGTCTCACTTAACAGCAGATTTCTGTAGTTAAGTGAGACATTTGTTAAGTGAGTATTGCCTCATTTTACCACCTTTCTTGCCACGGTTGTTAAGTGAATGACAGCCGTTGTTAAGTTAGCAACTGTTTTGACCCAAACCCTTTTGCAATAAAACAAACATGAACCAAAGGGAACAGAAACCTTTTAATGATTCTTACGAATCCCCGGTTAAAAGGCTGCTGCAAACTAATTAAGTTTGATAAACACAAGCCTGGCCAAAACTGTGCAAGGCTGCCAAGAATGACAGATAAGAAATATTTCACAACACAAGAGTCTTAAAATACCAACTTAAGATACTGGAATGTCCACAAGGCTGAGTTTCAAAACGTTTTTGCTTCCTACAAAGAACAGCTGGCTTTTATCTTCTTGAAGGAGGGGCCATTACCTTGCAGCCTTACTCCCGAGTCGCCTGTGCTGTTGTAGCTGCTCTTTCCTGCGAGCAACCCTGCACACACGCGCATTTGGCACAGGCTCCTCAGGAATCTCCTCATCGCTGCTGCCAGTCCCCACAATCTCTGACGGCAGCAGTCCACTCCCTAATGGTCCTGGCCCCTCATCTGAGTCCTCACTCTCTTCAGCCGTCTGCACCTGCTGCCGGCTAACCACAACAGCAACAGGGTTGTTAAGTGAATCTTGGCTTCCCCTGTGACTTTGCTTGTCAAAAAGCTGCAAAAGACTTTGGGACACAGGAACATAAATAGGAGTCACTTGCCAAGCACCTGAATTTTGATCCCCTAATCCCCTGATCTGGGGCGGGGGGAGAGGCTGCAAAGGTTGTAACTCTGAAAAATGGTCGTAAGCCACCTTTTTTCAGTGACATTGTAACTTTGAACTGCCACTAAGTGAACTGTTGTTAAGTCGAGGACTACCTGTATTACGATCAACTTTTGTGACCTTCTGACAAAGTCACTGGGGGAAGCCAGATTAACAGGCATGTAATTAATGTGACCATTGCAGCGATTCACTTAAGGACCGCAGCAAGCAAAATCATATCATGAGGCAAAACTCACTTTAAAAATGTCTCACTTAGCAACATAAATTTGGAGCTCCATTGTGGTCATAAGTTGAGGATTACCTGTATCTCTAGGGAGAAAGTCAAGACTGCCTTCAGCCATCAGCAATGGCTGCCCTTTCTTGGGGTGCCATTCTAATCCCCCGCTAGGATTTCCTGGTGGTCTCCCTTCCGAGGGCTCCTGGGGAGGAGATTATGATCCATCATCCCCTGCCTGGAACAGGTCTGGCTCTTTGGCCTCCATACAGCTAAGTCCTCAATTTACATCAGTTCCTTTAATGACGGTTCAAAGTTACATTGGCACTGAAGAACAGTGATTTATGACCATTTTTTTCACACTTCACCTTTCCAGCAGCCCCACCGTCACGTGATCAGAATTCCCACGCTTGGCAACTGCTCCGTATTTATGACTGTTGTTGGTATAGGATCTCCCTGAGCAGGGGGTTGGACTAGAAGACCTCCAAGGTCCCTTCCAGCTGTATTCTGATAAGATAGATTTGTGACACGTGTGTTGCGTTTGTGTGTGAGAGACCTTCTGATAAGCAAAGTCAACGGAGAAGCCAGATTCACTTAACAACCAGGTTACTAACATCAACTGCGGTGGTGATTCACTTAACGACCGTGGTCAGAAAGGTCGAAACAGGAGGGGAGGCAAGGCCCACTTGATAAATGTCTCCCTTAACACAGAAATTAGGGCCTCTGTTGTGACCGTAAGTCGAGGACTCCCTGTAACCTCATCCTCTGCTCCCACCCCCTCCCTCCGCCCCCATTTCGGAAACAGCTGCTTTGACATTCCTGCTCGCTTGGGGTCTTACGACAATGAGGACTAGAACCTTGGCTCCGGCTTGAGGAAACCGAAGCCCCGGAACCCGTCAGGGGCTCCACCGGCAGTGCCCGAAAAAAAAGGGTTTTGGCGTTTTTAGGAGCCCGGAGTAAGTGGGTGGGGGGGATATTTTGGGAGAACGCCGCTGCCCCCCGCCGCTCCGGGAACCAACTGCGCACGCGCTGCGGTCCCCCTCTCCCATTCCGACCAGGGGGCCGACCCGAAGGTCTCCCCCGCGGCCCTGTCCCGCCATGCCGCGGCGTCCCGACTCACTCACGCGTCGAATTTGTTGTTCATCCTCCTCGCTCCGTCACTCGAAGCCGCTTCGCTTTCCCTCAGCCGCACGACTTCCGTTCAGCGGCCTGCCTCTCTTCCATTCGCGGTCTTCCCCCACTTCCGGCCCGGCGGAACCTTTGTCCTAGGCGGCGGCCTCTACCCGGCCCTGAGGAGGCGGTAGCATTCCGGCTGCTACGAGAGACTTTCTTGACCGCGACACTCTATGGTGGTCCCCTCTACCGCTCAATCATCCCTGTACTATGAAGCCTCGTAGAGCAGAGAAATTAGAGGAGCTCTTCCGTTGCACTGAGGATAGGCTGTTTCCGGGGTCGCGTGTTTCAAAATCTGAGAACCGCCCATAGAAATCACGACAATGAGGAAATGCGCAACTCTTTGAGCAGGTTTTGCGCTACATGGGAAGGGCTGGGAACAACCTAAAGGGGTAAGTATGCTTGCAGAAGTTGTGGGTGCTCCAACACTGCAGGCTTTCAAAAAGCCTGGATGCCATTTGTTTGAAATAGTACAAGGTGTACAATTTAGGATTGCATTAGCTTTTTTTTTGCTGCAGCAGCCAAGAAAGCTCATGCAATCCTAAATTGCATTAACAATCAAGATCAAATGAGGTACTAATACCACTCTATAAAGCCTTAGTAAGACCACACTTATTAAAACTGCATCCAGTTTTGGTCCTCACACTTCCACTCCTGTCGGCTGTTCCTCCTCTCCCTCAGAGTCAGTCTCCACCAGGGACATGACACCCAAACTTCTGTTGTTTAAATGAAGCTTTGCCCCATTTTACACCCTTTCTTGCCACGGTTGTTAAGTGAATCACTTGCAATTGATAAGTTAGTTGCAAAGTTATTAAGAAAATCTGGCTTCTCCCTGGGCTTCTGTGAGGAGCTTGCAAAAGAAGAACAACACGTGACACTGCAACTATCCTGAGTCAGTGGTCAACCATCCGAACTTTGACCATGTGACCATTTGGATGGTCACTAAATGAACTGTTGTAAGTCGAGGACTATCCATATTAGGATATCTCTAAGCCAGTATCTCTAAGCCAGGGATGCGAGGGCTCAGTGGCTAAGACGCTGAGCTTGTCGATCAGAAAGGTAGGCAGTTCTGTTGTCCCCAGTGCGGGTCAGAGCCTGGTGCCAAAGCCAATGATAGACGCCAGACACGAGGTGCAGGTTTTCCGGTTGCTTTTTATTGGCGTTCTCCAAGGAAAAGGGCTGGTCAAAATGCCAAGAGCCCAGAACAAAGGATTGAGTAAGTTTTATACATTTTCACTAAAGGAGAAGGTGAGACAAAGCGAGATAATAAGACATATCATCTAATAAACATTTTAGTAATCGTTCTACAATTTGTTCTATTGGCCTCTAGCTGTCCCTACTCCCAAGTCTTAGCTAATGCTAGGAGTTATCTAATATACATTTGATTTGCTGCAGGCTATCTCTATCCCTAACTGTTAACTGAGATCTGCAAGTTGGCTAACTCAAGTTACTTTTATCAGCTTTCCAATTAGCCAGGATTGTTACAAGATTTACACACGCATATCCTCCTGTGGATAAGCATTCTTTGTTCTTTCCAGACACACTCCACAATTAAAGGCTTCCTGATTTACGTTGAAGTGTGTGCCATGACCTGGCTTTCTTTTAGCAGATGGCCCATCAGTTTGGTGGTTCGAATCCCTAGCGCCACATCACAGAGTGAGCTTCCGTTACTGGTCCCAGCTCCTGCCATCAAGCCGTTCGAACGCATGTAAAAATGCAAGTAGAAAAATAGGGACCACTTTGGTGGGAAGGGAACAGCGTTCCGTATGCCTTCAAAGGCGTTTAGTCCTGCTGGCCACATGATCACGGAGACGTCTTCGGACAGTGCTTGGCCCTTCGGCTTTGTCACGGAGATGAGCACTCCCCCCTAGAGCCAGAAACAACTAGCACATAGGTGCGAGGGAAACCTTGACCTTGACCTTAAACCGGGCTTTTCTCAACTGCGGCGCCTTTAAGATAAGTGGGCTTCAGTTCCCAGAAGTTCCCAGCCATTTTAGTCGACCTGCAGGAAGTCCTTGACTTCAGACCACAGTGGAGCCAGGAATTTCAGTTGTAAACCATTACAGTCATAAGTTGAGCCACCCCATGTCTGGACTCTTATTTTACAACTGTTTCTATGACTTGTAAAGTGAGTCACCACAGTCAAAAGTCAAAATTCTTAGGAATGGATCTTTTCATTCATTTAGTCATACATTCATTCAATTTCTGTAGCCATTCATCTCAGTCAATGACTCTGGGTAGCTTACAGTTCTGGGTCACTTCAAACGGTCATTAAACGAACTGTTGTAAGCAGGGGTGGGATTCTACCTGGTCAGACCGGTTCTATAGAACCAACCGGTTGTTATGATTCTGCCCAGTTCAGAGAACCAGCAAATCGAGCCACTGGCTGGTCCCTCCCCTCCCCACCCAGCCACTCCTTACCTGGCATGCGCGCCATCAAATTTGCCTGTTAAGTTGCTATTTTTCCTTCCCCTCCCCCAACCAACAGAAGTTCTGCTGTGCCAGGAGATTTAGATTAGCTAGAAGGCAGGAAATCATTGAATGTCTTGCTTTTTAGCTAATCTAAAAGCAGAGCTGAACCTTCCTTAGGACTGAAGCTTCTATTTTTCAGTGCAGACTCAGGTAGCAGATTGCAGAAAGATAGATCTCTGAGTGAACCTGTGATTCTGTGAGCAACTCAAGCTGCCTGCCTGCTTTGTCTGGTTTGGGGCAAAAGCTGATCTTTTTTAAATTAAAAAATTAAATATTTACATAAATATTTTCAATGTGTACATACAAGCCACGCCCAGCCAGTCACGTGACCACCAAGCCACACCCAATCAGCAAGCCCAGTCACATGACCACCAAGCCACACCCACAAATTAGGCCATGCCCACAGAACTGGTTAAGAAATTTGAATCCCACCGCTGGTTGTAAGTCGAGAGCTAGCTGTACGCATGCCAGGAAGTTTTGGAATATCTGTCATGGATGAGCGCCTATTTCTTTTCAGTGGAATTGCCGTTTGGTAGGAGGCTTATGAATACATCTGGAGCTAAGGAATCCTTCAGACAAATCTCAGCACACTCTCACGCTTTCCCACCATTTATCAGCAAATCTTTTGACATTTAAGACTTGTTGCATCACCAAGAGAAGTAGCAGCAGATGGTCGTTCCCCAAGGAATGTCCACATATCAAACCTTCAGGCAGAACATCCTGCCATCCATCAAGGATTAACATGTGTGTGGGATGCTCCCTTCTGCAACAAAACCACCAATAACCGAACAAGGAACCTTGGAGATCCTCTAGCCCACCCCACTAGTCAGGCAGGAAACCCCACAGCAGTGGTGGGATTCAAAAATTTTTTACTACCGGTTCTGTGGGTGTGGCTTGGTGGGCGTGGCAGGGGAAGGATACTGTAAAATCTCCAGTCAGAGGTGGTATTTGCTGGTTCTCCAAACTACTCAAAATTTCTGCTACCGGTTCTCCAGAACGGGTCAGAACCTGCTGAATGTCACCCCTGCCCCATAGTACCATTTCAGACAAATTGCTGTCCAATCTCTTCTTAAAAACTTCCAGTGTTGGAGCATCCACAACTTCTGGAGGCAAGTTGTTCCACTGATTAATTGTTCTCTCAGGAAATTTCTCCAAAGTTCCAGGTTGAATCTCTCCTTGATCGATTTCCATCCATTATTCCTTGTCTGGCCTTCGGGTGCTTTGGAGAATAGCTTGACCCCCTTCCTCCTCCTCTCTGGGGCAGCCCCTCAAATATTGGAAGATGCTATCCTGTCTCCCCCTAGTCTTTCTTTTCTCTAGACTGGCCAAACCCAAATCCTCCAAACCGTTCTTCGTATGTTTTAATCTCCAGGCCTTTAATCATATTAGTTGCTGTTCTCTGCACTTTTCCAAAGTCTCAGCATCTCTTCTGTAATGTGGTGACCAAAACTGGATGTAGTGTTTCAGGTGTGGTCTTACTAATGTTTTATAAAGCGGTACTAATACTTCATGTGATTTGGATTCTCTGCCTCTGTTTATACAACCGAGGATTGTATTAGGAAGAAGAAGGAAAGGACTATGGGATGTTTGGTGCTCAGAGTTTGGTTGCCTTTTTTGCAGACATTTCATTACCCAACTAGGTAACACCATCAGTGTTAGAAGGGAATGGGGTTTCATCTCAGTTTATATACCAGTGCTGTGATGGCGAACCTATGGCACGGGAGTCCCAACCAAACTTACCTGCACTGCGCATGCGCGTGCCTCCCAGCTGATTTTCAGGCCATTTTCGCCCTCCCGGCGACTCAAGGGAAGCCTCTGGAGCCTCAGGAGGCCAGAAAATGAGCCTTCCAGAAATACCAGAAGTGCTGAAAAAGGCCTGTTTTCAGCCTCCTGAGGCTCCAGAGGCTTCCCTTGAGCCGCCGGGAGGGTGAAAACGGCCTCAAGCGGACCAAAAATCAGCTGGGAGTCGCATGCATACATAGTGAGGGTAAGGGGGGTTGTTGTGTGTGCATGCACAGGGGAGCGCATTGCATTGTGGGTGCTGGCATGCGCACACGCACGCTTTTGGCACACTACAACAAAAAAGTTCACCGGGGTAGGATTCTACAGGTTCCCACCTATTCCCTAGAACTGGTTGTTAGAAGAAATTACTGGGCTAATCCTGTAAGGAAGGCAGGAAGGAAACATTCTGGTGTTGCTTACAGAAACTGCCTCTCTGTTAACCCTTATTACATTCTTGGCAGGACTAGACTTCCTGTCTCAGGAACTTCTCTGGAGGTTCTTTCCCCTCTTTGCTGGTACTTTGTGTGGAGTGACCATTCAAAGTTACAATGGCACTGAAAAAAGTGACTTATGACCATTTTTCACACTTATGACCATTGCAACATCCCCACAGTCCTGAGAGGCCAGGCGAGGAGATGTGTGCCTCGATGTGAGTGATATTGAGTTGGCCACACCCAGCCAATAACATGACCACCAAGCCATGTCCACCCAGTCTCATGACCACCAAGCCACGCCCACCACCTAAGCCACGCCCACAGAACCGGTTGTTAAAAAATTTGAATCCCACTCCTGAAGTTTACCATCACCGTACTAGTGGTTTGCCCAATCACTCTTAGTGGGCGTGGACTGTG